AGGGGTGGAGGCAAGCTGCCCACTGTGGGCTTGGCTTCCCTGTCCTGCTGCCCTCCCCGCAGGGCCTCTGCAGCCTGGTAGCTAGGCCCTGACACAGCAGGGCAGAGTAGGGCAGGGAAGCTCAATGCCATTGCCGCAAGCCTCGTGCTGCCATGGTGATTTGCCCCCTGCCTGACTGGCATCTGTGGGGGACACAACTCTGCACCGCCAGTCCCACAGCTGCAGGGCAGGCAAGGGGTGCGTCGCTGTGGTGGTGCAGGGCTCGTGGCGGCGGTATCGAGCGTCCCCACCCTGCTCTTCCCTGTTGTACTGGGGCCTGCCCGCTGGGCTGTAGAGGCCCCAAAGGGGAGGGCAGCAGTGCAAGGAGCCTGAGCCACCTGCCACCGTCCCTGCTCCCCCCAAATACGTTCTGCTCTGGCCATGATACCCGTGGAAGAGGGGAAGCTGGGCTCCGTGACTTACTCTGCTGCAGCACCTATTGCCTCCCACAGGTGGCAGCCAGGGCTCAGGAGCTGCTGGGGGGTAGGGGGCGGGGGGCAAAAGCTGTGGACCCAGGTCCTTGGTCCCACAGCACTGGCAACTGGGGACTCCTGGGGGTTGGAGACGGGGGACAGGCACAGCTGGACCCAAGGCTGGTGAGTGAAGGGGGCAGAGGGAACTCTGATTTTCCATGATAAAAAATTCAAAATCAAATGCTAAAATTTGAAGACATTGAAGAAATTTAAAATAGAAACTTTTTAATTATACAATGTGTGCACATGATTACCAAACAGAAGAATATAGGTTTTCTTCAAGAACCACAACATCACTTGCTGGGAATTGGACATCAGTTGCAATTACTATATGGTCCTATAAAGGATACTGAATGTCTGATAAAATGACACCTTTGTCATGTATGGTGATGCTTTATGTTAAATGGCCACGTCTGCATTCCAGTCATAGCTTTCTTAGAATATCATAGCTCAGTTCTCACACTGGAAGAAAAATATTCTGACATTTTGGAATCAAAAGCATACCTAAATATTTGGGATATTTGGGAAATGTTGTTTTTGTTTTACTACGGGAAGGTACCTGAAAGTGGCCTTCCTTTGATTACCTGACCTCAATTAAAAGTGAATGCCAAGTACCTTCTTCCCGTGAGGTAGGGACTCTGGAGATGTATCTATCTGCCTTTGATGTAGATGCTCATTAGTTTATAGATAAGTAAAATTAGATAGTATGGCTGATAAGTGACAATCTCTATGACATTAGCAAAGGAGCGGGAGAAAAGAACCCAAGATTCCCAGTCATTTGTTCTCAACAAGACTACAAAAATAAATTCAATGTTTCAACTGAAAAATGAAAATTAAGCCTCTTTCAAACTGGAAGCAGAAAAAAAAAAATCAGGAAGTATGGACTATCAGAGTTAAAAGGGACTTGAAAACTGATATTATATAGAATGGACAGTTGCATAATAATAATAATGACATAGAAGACTGACAATGTTTAGCTTTTCAATAGCCAAAACGCCTTTCCTGTTCACTGCTGAAGTCTGGTAGAGCCAAAACTCTGCCAGTTTTTGCTGGCTTGAGTGTCTAATGTGGTGTTCTTTTCTCTGTGTTTTAAAATTACAAATATAAGATATCAATTTATTCTGTTCAATCTCATCTGGACAAAGTTTCAAGTGCATTGTCTTTTTCAAAAGACTGTGAATTCATATAATAAACCATATGCATTCTGAGCAGATTTCAGAATCATATAATACTGTAAAAATATAAAGCAACTCAAAATAATTAAATTTTAAACTCAAACCATCAATAAGCCTTCATTACAGTTGTTTCTGTTAGACTAGAGACAATGTCAACGAACATCCATTTGATGAATATAAAACCCTACTCAAACCTCTACTGCTGAAATAGAAGAAACGCCCAATAACATCTGGAACTACAGAGACCTGCTTTTCAAAGCAGGATAATAATTTGCTTACCTGGAACATCAATTAATCTCTTATAGACATTCAAGAAGGCTGCCTCTGCTTCTTTACTTCTTTTTCCCAATGCATCAATCTAAAATATGTGAGGAAAAAAGAAAGGCTTAGATTGGCTCTGCACTCACCCTCAATGGTCTTAGAAAATAAATGAATACATTTTGTAATATCAACTTAGTTCACATAAAGAATGCAGGCTTGCATTTTATACATAGACTGAGAAAATTGTGTGTGTAAATCTAAGAGTATTTAGATTGTATTTAGAGTGACAATATAAGAGTATTTTCACTATGCTTATGCTGAATATACTAAAAACGCATTTTAAAATAATCACCAGTATCTAACATTTTTAGGTCCAATATGATTTATTTTGGTATATAAATTATAATATTGTATGCGACATATCCTTCATTTGGAATGAGACACTTTCCTTTGCTCCTTGCAGAAGTCTAACTGTGCTACATGACACACAGGTAAGGTTTGGTTCACATTCTACTTTTACTGCAGCAAAATGTGCATTACTTTACATTTTAATACGCATCTTAGAATGTCCTCAGACATGTATTTTTCCTGATATGCTATTATACCAAGGGCTAGACTATCAGATCTCCCACATACAAAGGAATTTTCCTATAAGTCTTGGTCACAGGCTCCCAACCTAAATTCTGAATTGTCTTCCATTTGTGGGCTTAGAGTTAAATCCATATAGTCAGATTCTGTAATATGTACATCCAACTGATAGAGGAGTTGTATGCCCATATGTAAAGGCAGAAGTTGCTCAATACTATGTATTATAATTTTCTCTCAGTAATTTAATTTCAACAAAATGTCAGGTTAACAATTCTGAAAATGAAATATATATTCCATTGTGAAAGAATAACATTTAAAAAAATATTTGTAATGCACTGTATTAGATAACAAGACATTTATAATGTCAAGAAGTTTGACAAAGCAACAGACCCAGTTAAATTATGCCCCACAATGCAGAAGGAGACAACAAGAGAAACAGAACTGTCTTTGGCAAAGTTCTCTTGTAGAGCGCTGAGGTCAGAGTTAGTACTAGAAGGATGGATATTATAGTTCCTGCATTTTATTAAAAAAGCTAGGAAGGATCTGAAGAACCATAGATATTTAAGCCTGATTTCAAATAGAGAAAGAAATGATAAGGGAAAACATTATGAAACATTTTACAATGTGTATGTCAACATGTACTAAAAAAGGAAGGTCCTGTCTGAAAAACGTCCTTGAATTCTTTAACCACATTATTGATTTGGTAGATAAGGCTGAAACAATGGACAGAGTTTACTGTATTTGTGTTTTAGTGAAGTATTTTATACTCTACTACACAAAAGACTAATATGCAGAATTAGAAAGTATACTACAAACGGCCAACTGAAATGGACTCAAAACTGCCTTTGGCACAGGAAATAGAGGGTGCCAAGTGAAAGGAAACAGCTTAGAGAGAAGAGAGATAAGGAGTGGGGTGCTGCAGGGTCAGACTCTGTGCCACTTCTGTTTACTTTGTACAAAAATGACTTTGTGAAAAGGAAGGATTTTGAAAAAGCCTACAACTGGAGATGATTAAAATAATGAAGAGACAGCCATTAAATGCAAAGAAACAGCAAATTTCAACTGGCTTGTACAGAAGAATCTTACAACTTGTTGAGAATATGCTAAAAAAGATTAATGCCACAAAATTGGAGAAGGACAACCACAGAAATTACAAAGAAGAAATTACAATTCAGTATATAAACCAGGAAAAGACTTAGGGAGAGGGCTCGTGGAAGAAAGTAAAGACGCTAAAAGCATCTGCACAGTGCTTGGCAGCAGCAACAAAATCTTGAAATATACAAAGAGGCTGTAGAAACAGGAGGTCTTTTAATACAATACAAGGCTGTATTTAGAACAACGAGCCAAATTCTGGTCCCACTTGCATCTAGGAAAATCTGGAGCACTTGGATCAAACTTGTGTAGAGGTGTGTCAAAATGGCACTGACGTAATGCAGAATCTAGTCTGCATTACTGAACTTGTGTCAGATTAAGAAAGCCTGGGTATCGGGAAGTAAAAGGCAAAATGACTGAGGATTTTGGGAGAAGACACACATTTTGAAGAAAAAAGTTGGCTATGCTTGGCTTTTACAGTTTATCAAAAAGAAAAGACAGTGGAATCAAGCATGAATGCACTAGAAAGCAAGGAACAGAAAGTGATGGACAAGTTGTTTACTGATTCAAATATATAAAATCAGTGACGAACTGAAGTTCATAATGGAGTAAGCACATACGTATTTTGGTAACACTGTCTTCATAAAAAAAAGTGCATTTAAATTTAGCTTATAGAACAAAGCCTGAAAAGCTCAGGAAGGTAAAATCAACATTTGAGAAAACCACATAATGTTGGCGGGGAAGGGGGGGAAGGGACAGGGTGTTGCTTTGTTTTGGAGTAGAAGAGGGAACAGAAAGCTGCTATTGGCTAGATCTGATTTCAGATAAAGATGTTTGTTTTGGGGGTGGGGGGGCATAGAAAAGAAGATTCTGGAGGTTTGAAACTGATTTGAATAAAAATTATAAAACAGAAAAGTTTAAATTTCATACACTAAGTGGATCAGAGGTGAGCTAATGAAGGCTGTTTTGTAACGCACAGGAATGTACTTAATTTTCTCTTTTTCAGATTGAGATTCCATATAGCTATAGTAAGATTTTATTTTTATTCTTCAATTAGTTAATATTAGTTTTATTCAAGTTGTCTGACAAAATTAAGCAATCTGTCTGGTTTACAAACTGCATTTAGAGTGAGTACCTCAGTACTCCTCAGAACGAACACGAACACAAAGCTATAACTAAAGCACTACCAACATTTAACCCAGATTAAAAAATCGCAGTGCTGTTTCTGAACATAAAGGGGAAAAGTCAGCATCAGAGAGAAATACCAATGCAATGAAGCAGAGTGTAAATTTAAGCCCAACAAAGAAAAAGAATCCTGAACAACAAGGTAATAAATATTCAGAAAGTTGACTCAAAACTTTTTATAGTTTAAGTGCTGTTGGCTGAGGATCTCATGAGAATCAACTGGGACTACAACATGTTAAAAAAAAAGTTAAAATAAAATTTTGGCTGCAGATTTTTGTAAGCTGTGAAAAGGTGAGGGAGTCAAAAAGAATACAAGTCAACTGATAATTATATTTGCCAAGTCTTGAGACCAGCTCAGCTCTGAATCTTTATCTGTCTTAACCAGGCCCCATCTCTTTTCGACTAGCAAGAAACAGCAGTGACCTCTGTACTTCCCACTCCATAAGCATATGCTCACTTTTAAGTTTTGGCATACTATTTGTCTTGATAATACCAATGGAGCTATATTGAGATAACAGAAATAAGACACTAGTGTGCTAGGAATCCTCCCTCCTTAGCATACTGTTCATCTTTAAAATACCACTGGAGCCATAGGCAGATAACAAAAATAAGAAACCAGCATGTGAGCAATCCTCCTTCTGTCCACCTTACTATCCAAGGTCAAGCTCTTTTATGAATTGTTGCATGCAGCTCAAAGATCAGACTAGGCACCGCAGGAAGAGATGAGAAGAGGGAAGAAAGAGTGGGGAAGAAAAAATAACTGCATAATCATCTGTCTGTATCAGCTCAGTGAAACTTCTTCATTTGGTCCCAATCCACACTTCCCTGTACGACAACTGAATGTACACTACTATCAGCAAAAAACCACAGTAGCTTGGGTAGCCTAATTTAAGTACACCAAGTCTTATGTGATCTCTCTAATATCTGAGTAAATCTAGAATCATGACAGTGAAACCAGTAGATTTATCTTTGCATTTACCCCTTTGTAACAAAAATCACAATTTGGCCACTAAATATTGAGTAATGGCAATGTCCAAAAATGTGCTTAATGTTAATTTACATTAAAATCACCTCCCCTTCCATTCATGCCCAGTTAGAATTCACATGGAGATATGTAAAACCCATCTCATTTAATTTATAATCTATAATTCTTTATTCTTTGAGGAAGTTCAACACAAATTGAAAGCCTGAAGTCTGTAATACCCCACAAATCACCCGGATTCAGTGTTTTGATTTGAAGGAAAGGTCTGCACAGGAGAACAGTCTGTACTGAACGAAATACTCTCTCATACAGCACAGTTACAACCAGAAGGCTGCACTGTTGTATTTTAAAGGTACAGCACAGAGATAAAATTAGAAAGCTGAGGTTCCAGACACCAAAGCATTTTGTTCTGATGAGCTGTGGACTGGAAGGGACCAACAGGTTAAAATGTTGCACATAAGCTGAGAAAAAGATAAAATACCAGACAGGGAGGGGAGCTGACTTTCACCAGGGAGCACAGTTGGGATACTTAAAATTTTACTTTTATAGGTATGGGATACACCCAGGCATTTTTTTAAAGCTTTTTAACAATCCAATATATTAAAGAGAGCTCATCAGGAAAGGAACCTATTGTCTTCTGTGAACCAGTGCTTCAGTTAACAGCACATAAAATGTACTGCAACTGAGTATAACAGTTATGTAGATACTTCATATGATTTTTCTTTTCCTGATCACTTTTACTAATATACCTCCAGGGATAACAGCTAATAATTGTCATTTCACTATGCTGAACCCAATCTGCAGCTACCTTACCCTATTAAAATAAATGACTTGGCTCTCCAGTAACTTCTCAAAGACTCATTATAAAACTTTACTACTTGGGTTTGAAATTTAATAAATCCCTGGCATACCAACACTGTAGCATATATATTATGCTATATCATCTTGAGAGAGAGAGGGAGGATGATTCTCTTCCAAGCCTGCTTTACTCATGGATCTGAAGATGGCTGATGAGGCCTATCCGGGATCAACAGACTCTGTTGCAATTTGGGCATGCGTTTCCGGGCAGGGTGGGTGGCTCTGGATTCTTGATTTGGTCCTTTCTGCCACTCCCGCTATTCCATCTCCTCTTGTCATTATATGGTTTCCAAGTACTGAGATCCTTGCAAAAGATTCCTCCTCCAATTGGGGCGGTCCTGGGTGACAGTCTCCTACGAGTTGATGTTACATTTTTTCAAACTGGCTTTGAG